GGGGGGGGGGGTAAGTTACTGGATCAGTTAAAACTGACAGTTGTCTGTCCTCTTTGTGAAAAGAAAATAACACACGCGATGATGCAATCTTGGTAAAATATTCATCTTTTAGCGGTTCAGAAAAAATCCATCAAGAAAAACAATCACCCGCGAGTAATTTTGATAATTTTGATATTTTTACAACAGGAAGCAGTTTTCAGTAAGTTTATTAACGAACATTTTATCATCCGCGGGGGGGGGTGGGGGGGGGGGGGGGGGAGGGGTGGGAGGCGTCAACAAACTTCTTTATCGATAAACCCGACGGCACACAAAGTTGGGTAGTTAGGAAGTGGTGTTAAATGAATTAAAAAAAATAATGTCCGCCAATAAAAAATAATATGTGGGGGGTTTTTATATAAAACGTTTCTGTGTTTGGTCTAGAATTCTTCATAGGGGATTTTGGGATTGCGGTAGGGGAGGGGGGGGGGGGTGCTTGTGTTTTGAAATGTACCGGACGTCTAGAAATAAAGAAAGACTCACTATAAGGGCAATAGCTCGGCAATCTTTCGACTAATTTCAACATAATTTAGAAGAAAAAAAAGTCCAACAAGGAGAACGTCTTATTTATCAGTATGAAGTAAATCAACGAATGTGTTGAAAAACATAACTTTAATAAAATGTCAACGGAAATTGAGGTCAACACAAACATTTGCAACTTCTTAAAAACCAACCATGTTGCTCTATTTCAAACAGTATCTTTCTATGCGTTTGAGAACAAAATTTTTTCTGAATTCATACAGCAAAATAAAGCCCATTCATTCATTCCTTCATTCGTTCATTCATTCTTTCATTCATTCATTCATTCATTCATCCAATCATCCATTCATTCATTCCTTCATTCATTCATTCATTCATTCATTCATTCATTCATTCATTCACCCTCTCATTCATTTATTCATTCATTCATTTATTCACTTATGCCTCAACTCCCAGACAATAAACAACCCACCGAAGACGTCTCCATAAACGTCTTTGGTCACGTGACAGTACTGCTGCCTGGAACACTTGTGTCCGTTGAGCAGACAGGCGTTGAGGTCAGACGTCTTACATCGGCCTGGACAGAAGGGCGGGTCGACGTTTGGCTTCAGAAGGGACAGAACGTCCACGTGCCCACTGGACACTACAGACACGCTGGCTGGTGGGTGGTTGGGGGGGGGGGGATGGTGGAGAAAAATTATGTGAGGCATTGTTATGAAGCCAGGTGCTCGTCAAATAAATAATGAAATTGGAGAAACCATCATTTTTCTAGCCGTTGGGTAATTGTTTTTTCTCACTTTCATTTTTTTTTGGGGAGGGGGGGGGGGGGCTAAACACCTTTTATGTCTATTTAAAAACACATTCTTGAGTAAATTTTACTGAAAAAAAAGATTAAAGGCACAAAACATGTAATTTTTCATTGTCCAAGGACTTTCAAGCTATGGAAGCTACCAAAATTTGGCGGCCATTTCCTCATTATTTTTACCTCTGAAAAAAGGCACCCCTCCCCTCCTCCAGTTGCGAATATCTAGACTTCTATTCAATATAGACGGATATTTTTTTAAAACCAAAAGCAAGGCAAACGAACAGGCTTTAAGATGATACCAATAATCCCATTTGCCCCAAAAAAATGACGAGTGCCAGATTCCATCACGTCGTGAAACAATTGGTGAAATGGTGAAATGGTGAAATGGTGAAATGGTATAGGTTTAAAGTTTTTATCAACACTATCAGGTTACTTAAGAGGCGGGACTTCCAAAGTTTAACGACTATCTCCGAAAGGACCGAGCCAAAGAGGGAAATTCGTGTAAAGAGCCTTTCTCAAGGGCACAAGACCGGACCGAGATGACGCTCGAACACATGAATCCGCGATCTAACGATTACAGGTTCGATAGCCTAACTGCTAAAGCCACCGACGCCTCGTGGAAAGAGGGTTTTGAGAATACGGTCAGAATATATTGACTAAGACGGTCACCTGCTGTCAAGGTGGAATGTAATAATTGTCTGAAATAGGTGGGCGCCATACACGATGTCTTTATGCTTGGGCTATTGTAACACATGAGGAAGCGGGAAATGAGGAGTGGTCGTATGCTCGTGTGATTGCTTCATACAGGTGACCGTTAGCGCAGGTTTAACTGTATTAACAGTAATAATAATATGAAAGAGGATAATATTAAGGATAATGATGATAATTACAACAATAAACATAATAATGATAAAATAATAATAATTTAAAAAATTAATAATTAAAATAATAATAATAATAATAATAATAATAATAATAATAATAATAATAATAATAATAATAATAATAATAATAATAATAATATGATGATGATTATGATTATGCTTATGATTATGATTATCATCATCATCATCATCATCATCATCATCATCATCATCATCATCATGTATTATTATATTATTAGCTTATTATTACTATACCATGACATTTATATAGCCATTAAACCCAATTACAGAAATTAAGCTCTGAGCATTTTACCACAAAAAAAGTTACTGACTTACCCAAAAGAGAGAAGAACGCGAGATATAGCGCACCGCCCATGGTCTCTCTTTAATGTCAACTGTAGGTCTATAGCAAAGAATGGAAAAAATGGAATAATTAGCTCTCTCTCTCTCTCTCTCTCTCTCTCTCTCTCTCTCTCTCTCTCTCTCTCTCTCTCTTTCTCTCTCTTTCTTTCTTTCTTTCTTTCTTTCTTTCTTCTTTCTTTCTTCGTTTCTCTCTCTCTCTCTCTCTCTCTCTCTCTCTCTCTCTCTCTCTCTCTCTCTTTTTCTCTATCTCTCTCCATCTCTCCCTCAGTCGTTTGTCTCTCCTTTTCTGTCTCTTTTTGTCTTTCATGCTCGCTTTCTCTCTTTCTCTCCTCTTCTCTCTATGTGAGTATATGTATATACCGTACGTACATTGTTCCCAATATTTTCTCTCCTTTTCTCTCTCATTCTTTCTCACCCCCCCTCTCTCTCTCTCTCTCTCTCTCTCTCTCTCTCTCTCTCTCCTCTCTCTCTCTCTCAATGATGAACAAACCCGCAATTTAATGTACGCAGATGACATGTGCTTATTTTCAGATAATATTGTAGACATGCAAAGGAAGATCAATTGTT